TACCTTATTATCTGTATACTACTAAAATTCGTATTGTGCTTATTTGCTTTTCTGTTTGTACTCTCAATGCGTTATATCACTATATTTTTTTAACTGAGGTACCTAAAATCCAGTAACTTAAAGAATGAATTTTTAAAAATCCAGAAACCATTACTCCTCTAGAATTGAAATTTCTATGATGTTCAGGCCAGTTTTATTCGCAAACTTGGGCCTGCTGCAATATCCCTCTGGTGATGTGGTCATCACTTTCATCATTCCCTGCCAGCTTTCCATAAGTAAAATCATGGGGAATCCATCTAGAAGTTGAAAGTTGCTCCGTCCTCTGTTTTATTGCCTCCTATGGTTTTTCTGTTTATCTGTTTGAATAAATATTAACTTTGTTATTAAAGTTTGTCATTACTATTATTTTTCTATTTATGATATATATTCTTCTTAGGTTATCACTGGACCATCCAAAATTAGGGCAAAATAAATGTGGAGAGTCTAAAATTTATGTTCATCAAATCAGACTGCACTACCTTTCTGTCTCAAAGAATGATCCAGCAAGTTGACTATTCTAAACAAAATATAAGATCACTAATTTATATTACACTCAAAGAAAGCTAGTGGGAAGATGACACTAGAAAAATAATTTGAAAAAGTTATAACAAATTTGACAGGAAGAGATTCATGGAAACTTGATGAAGTGCAGACACAGCAAGAAGAGGCAAGTTCTAGTCCAAAGTGGAAAGATTCAGTTAGATTTACTTGCAGCACAAGGAAATATGCTGCCTATACAAAAGAATAAAAGTTAGAATGGTTAAAGAGCAGACTGATATGGATGGATAGAATTTCATAACCTCTTTCTGTGATTGTTAAGAAATCATGGAACTTGAGGTTGTGTGCTATTCAATACCTTGGAAGTTAGAAAATATGGCTATTGTATTTTTAATAGATTAAAGGGATAAAAACACTTTAATGACAGCATCAAGATTTAGGACATCTTCAACAAGATGAAACAATAGTCAGAATTCATTTTATCAGAGAGAAATACAAAACCCAAATTTTGAACAGAAAAAAATGCAAGTGCATGTATGTAGAATTAAGGAGATTTAAAGATTTAACTAAATCAACTCTAAATCATTTTTTTTGTACTGTCCTGTATGTTCGTATAATGTTTATATCATATGCAAATAAGTTTGTTTAACTTGTTATCCCATCAACTCTCAAAATATTTTGGTTTATGAGATGGTGAATTATGGCTATTTATGCATATCATCTATGCCAGTTTCTTTTTGTATTAGAATTCAGAAGTCCTCTAAGAGGATGTCCACTCCATATAAAACAATTAGAACCACAAATAATTATATGTTGGTTTACAGCATTATGCTTTATTTTGGTCACAAAAACTGTTTCTGCTATTTGATAGAAGGATAGTATATCTTTTATTTAAAATTGGGTCTGTTTATTATTGTATGTGTGCATGTATGTATGTGTATATATAAATTCATAGAATAATACAAATACCCAATCTCAGTTAATACATTATGAGTGAACAATTAATGTAGAGGTTACACAACAAAATTTGTAGGAAATTAATTTCATAAAACTGAATCTGTGTTCCAACTGTAAAAAATATATACAGAAACAACATTTTGTGAATCTATCAAATATCCAAGACAGCAGTATTATCTAAATGTATTTCATAAATTATCATTGGGCATAAATAGCAATCTTAGAATTTTATTCTATTTATATCATTGAATTCAAGTTTACAGACACTTGACAAGATGTAAGATATTCTTTCACATTTATAGATCGCATTAATGCAACAAAATGCTTCCACTGCATGACACACAAATCAGAATCAGAATAAAAAAGAGTTATCATTTTCACTGTTGAACTAAGTTTAGCAACTGTTCACCAAAAACATTGAAATATTGCAGATGCCAAACTTTATTCTTCACAGCTTGGTTATTTTGTTAAGGGTATTCACCATTGTTAGGCAATATGATGAATATTTTAAAATTCTGCAAGTCTGCAAATCAAATATTTTTGCCAACTTCAACTGCAAACATGCATCTAAGTAGAAAAGTGCTAATAAATGCCCTGTATCCTTTCTGCCGTCCATGTTGCCTTTCATTCTAGTAGATGCCCATCTCTCCACCCAAAACACTGTTTTGGGAACGTGACAGGACACCAAGGAGCCACCTCTTGTTTGCTTTCAAACAGACATCTGTGTAAACTAATTTGAGTCATTGTTCCAGGGAAGGAAATGCAAGGAGTGGGGAGGAGGGAGAATAATAAGAGAGAAAACTGGTTCTCCTGGAAAGATTTCATACAGCTCCACAGGAAGGGAAGGCCAGGTCATAAATAGCTTTGGTTCTCATTCAAATGCTGCTGACTATTAGCATCAGTCTTCCATCTGGACTACACTGAAATGAAATCTGCACCAGCCTTTGCTAAATTTGTAACAGTGTACAGGAGTGACTGAAGGCAATCTGACAAGATAAGTGATAGCTTTGGAGTTAGAGAACACTGCTACATGCTCTATCAGTCGGAAACTGGAATCATTCAAGTGAAAATTAACTTCCTCTCATCTGGCCTGTAGGAAAAAGAAAAGACTGGCTAAGAAATGATTGTGCTATTAATCAAATCTTCTTCAAATGGGATATAACTTATGGGGATAGTTCAATCGAACTGTTCATTAGAAGTAGAGATTATTCACTCTTTGTTACGTGATATAATTAAATCTGTAAGACAGAAAAGTGCCAGACAAGAAGGATGCAAAAGAGAACAGAGTTTGCTGATGCCTTTCTCAGCCCTGGAAGCATCAAAAGATTGCTTAGCATTTACGTAGTAATTGTGTGTATTCTCCATTGGTGGCAAGAAACAGGCCTCGAGCAAGTTTTGTATCAAGCAACTGACAGATTGTCTCTGCAAGAGAAACAAATAACGGCCTTATCAAGAATATCCAGGCATTGAACAGATTCAATCTGTCCTGTACTTCTTTACAAACATTACTTCCACCCACATTCCTGTTCAGAGAAGGGAATAAAAAACAAACAAAAGAAGCCCAATAGAGTCTTTCCTCCCAAGAATCAGATTTTCAAAACTGATTGAATTTAGGCAAAAACAAATATATAGTAAAACAACACATGCTACAGGAAGACAAGTGGCGGCGCCATTTCAAAGATTAGTTACTGTGATTCAAACTTCTGTAGATAAAAATCCATTAGAATAAGAATTCATGAAGTGTTATCCCTCTCACATAACCATGATTGACATACACACAGACATGAACTAGGACTGGATCCAGTAAAAAGATAACCCCCTCTGATAGTTCAAATGTCAGGCATTACAGGATGCCATTAGATGTACTTCCAAACTCAGCTGGGAAAACATTTAAGTATATTTCTGATAATTAAAAACAAAACAATTGTTTTGATAATTTTCAAAATCTTCCTTGATGCTATTAAAGAGATCACCTTAACGTTTTGCTCTAAGTGTCATCTTTAATGATCACCTAAACCAAGAAGATAAGGTCATGCCTAAGCATAGAGTAGAAGTATCCATTGCTTGTCAGTTAAATAATGATGGTGGTTGCAGCAGTGAAATCCAACTCTTCCCCATTTTATACATGCTTTCCTTTTCTTTGCAATAATTTTATTGAAAATTATATTATGTAGATAAAAATATTGTTTATTAATTTTGTTACTATTAAATTAACTGCTATAATATTCAAAAACCTCAATTAATTTTGTACAAATCTCATAGTTAAAATTTCTTTTTTAAAAGGGCTGAAGAAAATTTAACCAGTGAATTAAATAAAGCTTACCATTCTGATGGTTTCCAGTCTTTAAGAAGCTGTTTTAAAAAGTATTGTATCCAAACTGTTTAAAAGTTCAAGTCTACAAAGGCTCCATTAACAGTTATAAGGTCAATGGCATCTTGTGATTCCCAATTAATTGCAATTCAGCTGCAAAAAGTAATCTTGAAATGTCTCCATTTTATACAGAGATGTTGGTGATCTGGATCTCACATGCAGATACTAAAGTAGTCCCAATATGTAGAAATGTCAATTTGCTTCCAGTGAATTGTAGTGCTCATTGCAAGCCTTTTCCCATTTTGTACATTCATCAACACTACATATATACACAAAAAGCAGGTCTTCCATCACAGTGCTATGATTGATAACTTGACTTTCTTTAATCTCTTTCCCTCTATTTCCTGTGAGTATTGCCAGCAAGGCTAAGGCTTGCTATTGTATGTTCCATAGGTAGAAATAATTTTAACTTGAAAATATTCTGATTTTATTTGTTTAACAGTAATTCCATCAAAAACATATAAATATATGAAACTTAAGGTGTTAAAAATCATTTTATCAATACTGAAATAAAACAAATGTCATTATTAATGCTTCTCCAATGAAAGGTTATGAAATGTTTATCAGTAGTTAAAAATCAGATTTATAGAAAGGTACACACAGAGGATGCCAAGTTTTTTCTACAAAGCTTCTTTATTGGTTTCAGGAAGGATTCAGTGTAGATTTATTTTAATCCTTATGTAAAGATAACATTACATCAGAGCTTCAGCAGGAATAACAAAGCTAGCACAAGAAAGAGGATTTCCTTGATAGTTGTGTTAAGATGATAACCCTCAGCCCTTGAGTTAGCAGAAAGAAAATCAGTGTAAATTGTTTGCTCCAATAGCCCAAACTTTTTTTCTGACAGCAAAATAGCGCTGTCCTTATGGGTGTACTGCAAGACCAGTTAAGAAAATAATTGATAGATTGTTTTGTCCTCCATTGAGTGACATCTGCTGGCATAAAAAGCATCTACCAATGACTCTGCTTAAGGTATGGGGGAGGAGAGGGGGTGTTGGATTGCACAAATGTAAGTAGGTGCTTAGGACAGAGGATTTAATTCCCTTTCAAATGACAGCTCAAAGGCACAAAGGGGTATTTTTGAATGTAAGCTAATGCTATTTTGAAAGAGTGTTAGACCTATGCTCACAAGTAGCCTAACAGGTTCCAGTCACAAAAAATAAGGTATTCATTCATTTGTTTGATAATAACCTGTATATATTGCCTTTTACACAGTAGCTCATCATAATTTAGATACCCTCCCTTCTTCTCCTTTTTTTTCTCCATAACAAACAAAGTATGTTTTGCTGAGGG